CACACACACACACACACACACACACACACACACACACACACACACACACACACACACACAGAGAAAATCCATAAAGTAGACCATTAACCAGCGGATCCCCGAGCCCTTGTGGCTGGCGTACGGTCAGCTCCTCACCTCTGTGCTCTAGATCATGGTGGTTCTTCTCGTCCTTGACGGGGACGTGTCCCTGGCTGCCCAAAGCTCCCAATGCCAACAGGCCAGAGCCGGAGCCCGTCACGGGGGGGATGCCAGGTGGCTGGAGCCCGGTGGGGTGTGGGGGCAGCTGCACAGGGGGGCCGTGGCCCGCATGGGATAGGTGCGCCTGGGCCTGGAGCTGCTGCTGCTGTGGATGGACAGGCCAGCAGGGGGGGGAGGGCGGTCGTTGTCAACCAGGAAGAAGGGGCATGCCCAAACACAGGGCCGGCAGAGGCTCCGCCTACACATGGCCGGCGGAGGCTCCGCCTACACATGGCCGGCGGAGGCTCCGCCTACACATGGCCGGCGGAGGCTCCGCCTACACAGTAGGGAGGCAGCTGTGGGCCACACCTGCAAAACAGTCCTCAGCCATGGGACTGGCTACCCTGAAATGCCCCCGAGGCAGCAACACACCAGTCCAACACACCACTTGTATATGCATGGATATGGATAGAGGTACTGGACAGCATCGTCAGTGAGCAGCACCCTTCACAAGGCAAAGGGAGAATAATAAAATCTATGAAGTGTTCCGCCGTAAGGCAATCAGCTTAGGGTCTGAAGGTCAGTCCTTCACAGGGGCCTCTGCCAGAAGGGTGTCACCAAGCCAACAGCAGGGCAGCCAGTCACATGAGAGACAGGGCTGATATGCACGAGTCCCGGCAAGTCCCAGCGAGTCCCAGCGAGTCCCGGCGCCACCCCCCCAGAGCAATTTAAATGTTAGCCATGCTTAACATTGTCAGTGTTCCATTCAGAAAGTCCAGCCCAAAGTCACCTGCACTCGGGGACCCGTGTTCTGCCACACACTCGTGTCAATATTTAAGGGGCTCTAGGAAGCAAACTGCAGTTAAAAGGCACTCAGCACCGAGGTGACTGCTTTACAACAAGGTTAAAATACACTTAGCGGAGCCATCAATTAATTATAATCAAGCCACGGCGATGACTCATGACTGCTACAGAAATCCTCACTAACAGGCCTCTGGTTTGACCTCGGTGGTTACGAGTGAGGTCGACCCGAACATGTGCGTTTCAGTCATCTGCGGGGGGGGGGGGCGCGCCCGCATACAATAAATAATCCTTCAACATCACCATCAGCAAAAAACCTAATCGTGAGCTCTGAAGAAATGTTTCCAGAGTTTGTTCATGGGGGGCGAGGTCAGCAGCAAGCACACGTGCCATTACCCTGGACATCGTGTGCTCGTTAAGCAGACCTGCACCGGAAAGACACATTAACATGAATTAAAAACGTCAGGATTACTAATGCTGGTGCTGTCAGGAAAAGGCCTGTTTGTGCAGAGACAGGGGTTGGGGGGGGAATCATCAAAACACAACAACCAATTAATCCAAGGAGGAAGATCCTAGCTCACTCTGGCTAATGAGGGTAACACGCCGAGATGATCATCAAGATGCCTCATTAGAAGGTCAGG